CCCCACGTCACCATCCAACTGCTGCCCACCTTTCCAACCGCCTTTCCTACTCCCGCCTCAGGGAGCGGCAGGCTCCCAGGATTCCTGCCCTCCGCACGCGTGCCAAGCCCTTTCCCGCCGCGCCGTCCTCCTCTCACAGGCAGCAGAGCCTCCCCTGGAAGCGCCTCCAGCACCACGGAGCCCCCACGCGGCCCAATGGATTCGATTGTGCGCAGCGGTCAGGCAGACAGCACCACGGTCCCGGGGCTCTCCAAGTCTGTGGGCCTCTGGGGGGCCCTTGAGACCTTCTCCGGGGCCTTGTGAGGTCACAACTGTTTTCATATTAATACCAAATACTGTCTGTCTTTTCCACTATATTCACATTTGCACTAATGCTGCAAAACGTGGCACCCCAGCATGAATGGGGGCAGTGGTGACGAAGCGTGGTGGGTGACCACAGCTTTTTAAAAGGGCCTCTTGCACTTAACAGTGTCCTTGAGGAGGCAGTAAAAAAATCAGTCATTTTACTCAATCTTGACCCTGTAGTACACGCCTTTTTATCTTCTGCGTGACAGAACAGGAGGTGCATGCACAAAGCCGCCCGCTGCAGAGTGACCGCGAGGGCGGCCCCTACAGGAGACCCAGGGGGGCTGGAGTGATGCGGGCCAGGTGCTTCTGTCGTGAACACCACTGTTATGTGCAAGAATGACCGACAAACCATCACATTACAAATGTGCATACCTGGCAGGCATTTTCTTGGCAACGGAAGAAATAAGCCAGTCATTTCAAGTAAAATGGGTAGCACTTTGCCAATGATCAAATCTGAATTCTCAGGAGGAAATCAGAATTTTAGAAAACTGACATCACTGAAGGTAAGCCTAAGTTTTGTGATACTTAAGATTTTTCTGTTTGGTGGCAATATTAAAATGTGACTTTGTATATTTAAATGTGTAAAAATGCAGAAGGAGCCTCCTAAGCAAGAGCCCATGTTTTCCCCATGACCCACATATGAAGTCACAAAATCTGGCGGGCAGACAAGCCGTCCAGAGTGCGGACGCGCCCGCGGAGTCCCACGTGACAGAGCAAAGAAATTCTCCCAAGGGCTCTCAGGCTGCAGCCTGCAACTGATCTCCGAGAAGTGCCACCTATGGTTTGTTGGTGAGGACCAAAGGACAGCCACAATTATCTGAAAAAGCTATAAAAATACTCCCATTCCCAGCCAAGCATCTGTGCAAGGTTGAATTTCTTTCCCATATGTCATGGAAGCAACACCGCAAAGGGCATGTTCAGAAGACAGGAGAGTTCATACGGCTAAAAGCTAGACACCTAAAGATACCTGCAGCACTGTAAACGCCCTATCAAAATTCTAGTTGCCCCTTTTTGGCAGAAATTAACAAGCTAGACCTAAAATTCAGAAGGAAATGCAAGGGGCCCAGAATAGGGAAAACATTTGTGAAAAAGAATAAAGTTTGCGGGCTTTACACTTCCTTGTTTTGAAACATTACAAAATGACAGCATTCAAGATGGGGTGACACTGGCAGGACAAGCCTATAGATCAAAGGAACACAAGAGTCCAGAAGTAAAAAACCTCACATTTATGATGACTTGGTTTTTGACAAGGATGGCAAGACAATTTAATAAGGAAAGACAGTCTTTAAACAATAGTCGTCTTTAACTAAAGAATAATGAGACAATCTGACATCCACAGGAAAAAGGATGAGGTGTACCCCCATCTCCCACCCTAGCCAACACTGATCGCAGACCCGAATGTGCGAGCTAAAAGCACAGACGTTCAGAAGACATCACAGTGCACATCTAGAAGCTGAGGCTAGGCAGTGGTTCCTTAGCTATGACAGCACAGCTAAGTGCGCTTTTGTGCACAAGCGACAAAAGGAAAAACAGATTTGGACTGTCACATTTTTCATTTGTTTCAAGGGACCATCCAAAAAATGAAGACAACCCACAGAATGGGAGTAGTTATCTGCATTCATAGACAATAAATGCCACTTCACGCCACACCGCAGGTGTGAGGAATGAAAAAGTCGGACACCACCAAGGGCTGGTGAGGATGGGGAGAAACGGAAACCCATCTCAGCGGCGCGGGGGCACTGGAAAACAGTGCGGCAGTCCCCAAAATGTTACACATAAAGTTACCACAGGCCCCAGCAAGGAACAGACAGGCCACGCCAAGCGCAGTGAAAACACAGGCCCCACAAACGCGTCCCTGAAGGTCCACAAGAGCATTCGTCAAAACAGCCAGAGCGCAGAAACGACGCACGCGCCCCTCAACCGATGACTCAAGAAATAAAACGTGGTTTACTCACGCCAGGGAGCAGGACCCCGGCCATAAAAAGGAATGGCTGGCTGGCACACACCGCCGCGGGGGGAGCCTCGGAAGACTAACTGTTGAATGAAAGAAGCCCGGCCCAAGGGCACACACCGGGCGCTCACTGCTGCGAAAAGAAGAATTCACAGCGACAGAAAGTCGGGTGCCAGGTAGTGGGGGACAGGGAGGGTGGGAGCTGGCAGTTCACGGGTATTGAGTTTTTGGGGGGCAATGAAGGCAACCCACAGGACATCCAGAGAACACCCAGAACCGAGAGGCACGGCCACTGCCGCAAGCTCGGATTCCCAAAGCAAGTTGGCGTCAAGCTCCGGCCAGCCCCGCCCACAGGCGCTCGCACCCCCTGTCGCACCTGAACAGGCAATTTCACAGACCAGCAGCTTTCTTACATGTGGCAGTGCCTCACCATTTAATTTTTCAGGGAGACGTGTCAGAAAAGGACAGGCGAGCTTAGCTACAGGAGCTCGGAGAACAACTGGGTGACAGTCTAGGAAGACTCCAGGGCACAGTGTGCCTCTGCCTTTCCTTCTGGCCACCTAGAACAATTCGAGTTACTTTGCTGAGCTGCCCTTTACCAAACCACAGTTTCATTTTCTGTTTTACGATCTTCATAGTCCTCTGATCCCTTCCCCATTCCCTCGGAGGCTTGTATGTGACAAAACACCTTTTAATTATCGTCTGCCGGCAAGCCAGATGACCAAAGTTTGATGGGGAAATCCCAGGGAAAGATGTGCCGGATTTACTGGAAGATAGTCACCCGAAGCCACAACTACAAGGTGCCGCCCAGCGCCCCTCTCCCGGGACACCCGCCTGCGTGAGAAGCAACGGAGGTGAGGCGCCTGGCCGGCACTCAAACAGGCCACAGAAGCACCCCCCGAAGCCAGTCTGCACTACAGCTGACGTGGCCTTAAAAGCTTGTCCACTATGAATAACAGGAAAAGTACTTCAGGAAAAGAGCTGAGATTTATATTTTCTCCACGGGTATTTTTTTTTAATCTAAGTTTTAAAAATAAGTAAAATTTGGAAGTCAAGCAGTAAAACAACCGCAGCGCGTAGCCTGACAGTCACAACGACAGGCTCTCTGGGAGTCACGCTCACATAAGACAGTTGATCGGGAAATTCTAAGAAAGGTGTGGTTTCTAGCGAGGCCTCTCGCTCCCTCCCCACTGAACGTGACACAACAGCTCAGCGCCACAAAAGAACACACCGAGGTACACAGGTACTCACGGCTCCCTCCGTGGCAGCACCGTTTGCGAGCCGACAGGTCCGAGAGCGCCCGGAACCTGAGCCCCAGCACGCTCGGGGGAGGCCGCGCGGGCCGGGCAAGCGCTCCTCTCGCTGACGCTGGCGAGGCACAGCCACACACGAGCCCTCCCGAACTGCAAAGCGTCCCGGTTGCCAATAAAGGCAGCAACTTTCAAATAAAAGAAGGCTGGCAGGAAGGCAGCCTCGCCCCGTCGCAGCCCTGGAAATCAACATGGAGCCCGCGCAGCAGGCCCGAGCGAGCAGACACCACGCGGCCCGGAGACGAGCGATCACTCTGGGCCCGCTGGAGGCAGGTCCGCGCGCTGTTCCAACGCCCAGCACCTCACGCCGCCGCTTCCGAGGAGAAGGCCGCGGGCGGCTCCCAGCCCGGCAGGGGAGCCTCTCAGCGCGCGGGGTGAACGCGGCCCCTCCCCACCGCGGACCAGAGGAGAACATGCCGCCGGGGACGCCGCCGCCGCCGCCCGGGCCCCCGGCTCCCGGCCCCCGCCCTGGCGAGAGGCCGCCGTCTTCGGCCGGGGGCGCCGCGGGGCCCGCAGCGGGGGCGGCGGGAGCCAGGGCCGGGTGGCCGCTCCCACGGCGCCTCCCGAGGCCTCGCGGACGCGCGGTTACTTGAGGGCAGCGGCCGCCCGCGCGCCCACGGCCCGGCCCCGCGGGAGGCGAGCGCGGCCCCGCGCTCGGGGCACCCCTCGCCTCTGCTGCGGGCCCCCGGTTCCGAGGAGCCCCGCGCCCTCGGGCCCCGCCCGGGGAGGGGCGGGCGGGAGGCGCGCGGGGCCGCCCCCGGCCGGGGCAGGGGCGCGGAGGGCGTCGGGGCTTCGTCGGCGGGGGGCGGCGGCTCCCCGGGGCGGCATCGCGGCGCGGCCCGGCGCGGCCGCCCCCGCCGGGGAAGCCGCGCGGGGCGACGGCGACTCCCGGGCTTCCGGGCCCCGAGACAAAGCGCCCCCCGCCGCCCGCGCGGCTCGGCGCCCGGCCGCCCTCCCCGGGGAGCGGCCCGTCCCGGGGCGCCCCGCTCCCCGCCGGCAGGAGCGTCTCGGCGGCGCGGGCGGCACCCGCGGGCCTCAAAAACGGGCCGGCCTGGCCCCCCCCGGCCCGCGCCCCCCCGGCCTCATTACCCCGAAAATAGGGCAGCGGGCGCGGCCCCCGCCCCCCCGACGGCGCGGCCCGGGGCCTGGGGGGCGCCCGGCGCGGCGCGGAGCCCGAGGCGCCGTCCCTTTGTCGGGCCCGGCCGGCGGCGGGCGCGGGGCCGCGGGCAGGTGCGGCGGGGCCCGGAGCGCGCCCGTAACGCCGCCCGCCGCGGCCCGGCCGGGCCCGGCCCGCCGCGCGCAAGATGGAGGCGGCGGCTGGTTACGAAACGCGCGGCCGCCACATGGCAGGGCCCGGCGCCCGCCCGCCCGCCCGCCCGCCGCGCGCTCACCCACGGAGCGGTAGCCCAGGATGGCGATCTTCCGCGACTTGGACTGCGGCATCTCGGCGGCTCCTCGGCCCCGGGCCCAGCGGCTCCCCGCGGCGCGGGCGGCGGCTCCTGCGCGGGATCGGCGGCGGCCGCGCCGGGCGCAGCGGCATCCAGGGGCGGGGCGGCGGCCTGGCTGCTGCTCCCCGGCTCGCGCGCCCAACCGCCGGCGCCCGCGCCCCGCCCCCAAACACGCCCACGTGACCGCGCGGCCCCGCCCCGAGCGCGCCGCGGGCGGGGCGGCGGCGGCCGCCGTTCGACTTTAAAGGGAAAAAAGGGGCCGCCGCGGGCCCCCCGGAACCGTGACGCCCGAAACTCGCTGCGTCATGACCCTCCCACCCGCTTCCGCCGCTTTTTAATTACGCCAGCGCGGCCCGAGCGCCGATTGGGCGGCGTCCTCCCGCCCGCGCGCTGACGCGGCGGAAACCCCGTCTCCCATTGGGGGCGGCCGAGGCCGGGCCCGGCGGGGCGGCGCGCCGCGCGCTAAAAATAAACCCGGGCGCGCCCGCGGCCCGGCGCCCGCCTGGGCTGCTCCGGACCTCGCGAGCTGGGGGGGGGGGGGGGGGGCGCGGCGTGGCTGGCGCCCGGCCGCTGATTGGCCAGAGCAGAGCGGGAGGCGGGGCGGACGGCGGGAGGCGCGGGGCGGGCGGCGACTCGCGCCGCCGAGCCCTGAGGGCCGCGGGGCCCGCCAAGGCCGGGCCGGGTCGGGCCGCTCCGCCCTCGGGCTCCGGGCCGCGGCTCTCTGGAGCCTGTTTGTGAATCGGCGCCCGCGAGTCGGGCGCGAGGGCCCGGCGACGCCGCCTCCGTCAGGGAAGGGCCGCGGCAGCGGGGGCCTCGGCGCGGCCGGACAATGTCGCGCGTTCCCGAGAAACCCGCGCCGCGGGGGCCGCAGCCCGGGCCCGAGGGGCCCTTCCCGGGCGCCCCGCTCGGCAGGCCCGCCCTCCCACGGGCGCGCGGCTCCACGATGCGGCCGGAGGCGCCCACGGGCCCCTTCCCGCCGGCCGGGCCGCCAGCCCGCGCGGAGAAAGCGGGGCCCGGCGCGGGGGGTGCGGCTGGGGCGCCCCCGCCGTCCTGGTGGCGACTCTTGCTCTGGTGGTTGCGAAAGAGGCAGGTGACACCCCCCCCCCCCCCCCCCGGGCCGCGAGGATCCCGGGGCGCACTGCCGGCGGGCAGACCCCGCCCCCCTGGGCAGGGAGACTTGGAGGCGACCGTCCCATAAATCAGCCTTGTTGGGGGGGACGCGGACCTTCCACCCGACTCAAGCGCCCCGCGGAGCTGGGGGGCCGGGTCAGTGCCCCCGGGGTCTACAGACTAAGGCCCAGGTGGCCCGCCCGAGCGGGCAGTACCTCGCCGGGCTGTGTGCGCTCGGGGGAGTTTGCAATCGCCGCCATCATCCGTGTAGATCGGGGCTGACCATGGTCCGCCCAAGAAAATGTATTATTTTTTGTCCTATAGATTTTGAGGATCCCCGCCCCCCAGTACCTTGAACTGATGGTACTAGAGTTCATAGTGGGTTGTGAAATCAGCTTAGTGGGTATTTCTTTAAAAAAAAAATTCCTTTTTATAGAAAAGAATAGAAAACAGTACAATGTGCAGGGGCCCGCATGGCCAAGGGGAGGTGTTGCTCCCTGACGCTTTGTGGGGAGAGAGTGAGGCGCTGCCCGCTCTGCCGCTGCTGGGTTTCCTGCGCCATGGAGGAGCGTGAAAGCGGTGAGTATCAGGAGGCCAGACTCAAGGATTATTTTTCAGTGACTTAAAAGTCCTTTCAGGTGAGAGCCAGGAAGATTCCTTTTTCCAGAGTGGGGAGATCTGGTTTGGTTTAAGAAATGACTCAGATTACCTGTAATAGTCAGGGTTGATGGCAGAATTCAGGTGGAAGTAACTGACCACACTCAGAATTTACAAGAACAGGGTCGCGAGAACCCCGCACCTCTCCTGACTGCCACCGCTGTCCACCCTGGAAGCCGCTGGAACTTGTGCCCCGTCGATGTGGCTGGCTCCCCTGCTGCCTGGTCTCTGGGCAACTGCCCACTAAATTTGTTTCCATGGAAACTACGAACTGTCTCTTCCATTCAAATTCCAGAGGACCGGGCTGGGCTCAGCCAATGACCATCATCCCTTGTGTGAGGGGTTTGTGAGAAACCTGTAGATTGCCAGGGAGGCCTCTGCGGCTATACTCTGGCACTGGTGGCGAAGACCATCGGGCTTAGCAGTCCGTGAGGTCATTACACACTTTTCTGTGAGCATTGCCAAGTTGAATGACATCGGAATTCTAGTTCCAACACTTTTATTTTTAATTCTTATAATATACAAAACTCTTGTTCCTTACCATTGCGTTAAACCAAGATTGCCATGCTTGTTTTCAGTAACAGGACAATTGTGAAATAATTTTACCTTTTTCATGGGAAAGTTATCCCTAAATAAAAGTGAACATGAAGCTGTGTTGTGTTTTAAATATTTAATAAAGGAAAACTAGAAAAAAACAAGCCATCTTATCAGCATGCATCCGGTCAGTCTCCCATCTGTGATGTCGCATAGGTGCTGTTCACAATGAAACAACTCAGATTTAGGGAAACCTGGCGGGATCATTCCTCCCTGTGGCCTTGTGGGCGCGCGTGTGGTTTCCGGGACAGGCCTCAGTGGGCCTGGCCTCAGCAGCCTTGCAGGAGGCCATCTTTCAAGACCAGTCCCCTCACACGGTGGCAGCCAGGCCTCCACCCAGCCCGCGTGCTGAGCGTGCAGTTGCTTAGGGGTGCTCCGCAGAGGGACGTGGCGTGAGCCAGCCCTAAGTCTGTGGGCCCCCAAGGCCAGGCCTAGGCTACACAATAGTTAGAAGTTGTTCTCAACTCTTAGGGGTTGACTGTGTCCCTCCAAGAAGGGAATGATGAAGTCCCAAATCTCAGAATGTGGTATCATCTTTTTTGGAAGTAGGGCTACTGCGGCTATAATTTACTAAGGTCACCTTGGCGTAGGGTGGGCCCTTAATCTGACGTGACTAGAGACAGAGCCACACAGAAGGAAGACAGATTGTTGAAGACACAGCAGAGACGGGAGCCATGTAGCCACGTGCCAAGGAACATCGGGGCACACCAGAAGCTGGACAAGGCAAGTGGGGTTGCTCCTCTAGAGATGGAAGGGGAACAAGGCCTGCTGACCCCTGGTTTTGGACTTCTGGACTCAAAACCAAGAGTAAGTTTTTGTCCCAAGCCTCCCAGCTTGTGGGACGTCACATCAGCCCCAGCAAAGCAGCACATCAACTACCCTCAAATGTCAACAGAATTTCATTACAGTTGGAATCTGGTTCCTGCTGCGTATGGATGAAATTGGCCTGCTCCCCCAGCCCCTCAGCCAGAGAGCACCAGGGGGCACCCCCACCAGCAGAGGGGGGCCGTATCCCGTACAGCAGGTCTCCTGGGGGTCAGCCCCTAGCTGACAGGGAGCAAAGTGTTCAAAAACTACGCGTCCAAAACACTAAGTCACACTACAAAATTTTCTGGGACTTTGTGTGTGTGGAAAATTTCAAAGATATGTAAAAGTAGAGAGACTGATAGAATAAGCCCTCAGCCCCATTCTGCTGAGTCACGGGCACTCCTGTTTCATCTACACCCTCCCCACTTCCCCCACCCACCCGGGGATTATTTTGAGGCAAATTCTAGACATCTTCCCATTCCATTCACAAATGAATGAATTTCAATGTTTTCTCTGAAAGATGACTTCTAAAAAATACATGCCATTTTTACACCAAAACCAAAACCAATTAAGGAATCCTTAATACCACCCAGAATTCAGACTGCTCGAAGTTCTCATGTTTCAAAATTTAGATTGTTCAGATCAGGATCCAAATAAAACCTATATGCAGCAACGGACTGGGGATGGTTCCCGGATATCCTGAGCCCGGCGCCCCCATCTTACTTTAGTGTGTTACATATATTAGAATTAACCAATGTTGCTGTGTTATCATCATATGAGGCTCATACACCATTCAGTGTCCTCAGTTTCCCCCAACGCCCTTCTGCCCCAGGATCCCTTAGCACTTTTGGCTCCTCTTGGATGCGACCATTTCGTGGGCGTTTCTTTTTTCAGTGAGCTTGACAGTGGTGAGGGTCCTGGTTGACTATTTCGTAGATCCTCCCTAGGCTGGGATTCCCCTGGTGTTTTTCTTAGGTTTAGGCTGGGAACATGGGGTTTTGTGAGGGAGGCCACAGAGGAAAAGGGCCACCGTAATCACATCATCTGTGGGTTCACGCCATGAATGTGACTCGCCGCTGCTGACATTGGTCTTGGCCACTTGGCTGAGGCCCTGTGTCTCGATCTTCATTGGAAAGTTCGTCCCTTCCTCCCTTTCCACGATGCGCTTTATGGAAGGTCACCGTGCATGGCCCTCACAGACTGGGGACCCTGCCTGTCCGTGCCCTTCTGTCTGAAGCAGTTCCATTAGCCTTTCTTGTACTTCTTATTTTGAATAATTATGGATTAACAGCTATTTTCAGAAACAGTTCAGAGCTGTCTTGTGTGACGTTCTCCTGATGCTAATGTCCTATGTACGTGTGGTACAACAGCAAAGCCAAGAAGTGGAAATTGGCACAACCTGCAGAACTCACTCAGACCTCACCAGTTTATCTTGCTTCTGTACATGTATTAGTACTTTAAGGATGTTCCATTTTCTCCTGGTTCTCATTTTTCTGAGAAATCAGCTGTCATCTTATTATTTCCCTTATGTAATACCCCTTCCTACCCCCCACTGCCCCCATATACAGTTTAAATTTTCTCTTTCTCTTTGTTGCTCAGGTTTGACGATGATAAATCTGTATGTAGAATTCCCAGTGACGCCATCTCTGCCTGGAATTTTCCTTGAGATGTTGCTAACTACAAATTTAGTGCCTTTTTAATAGGTTAACAGGCTATTCAGATGGTCTATTTCTTCTTGAATCAGCTTTGATATTTTTTTAAGATTTGCCCATTTCACCTGAGTGTCAAATTTGTTAGCACAACGTTGACAGCATTCCCTTATTACCCTTTCAAATATCTGTGGTGTCTATAGTTACCTCGTTTTTCTCCTTCCTGATCTGGCTCATTTCTGTCTTTTCTGCCTCTGTCCTGAGTAACTGGCTAGGCTGTGATCACTTTTATTGTCCCAAATATTCAGCTTTTAGCTGCATTGATTTTAC